CTTTGAAAATAGGTGTTGAAAATAGCCATTCTGCAGTACATTCCAAACTCCAGGCTGGAAACTTCATGCCAGCAAACACAATATGCTTGCACAGCAGTCGGTTTCTTCTGAAATCTAAGCATGTGCATTGACACAGTTGTTTCTGTTCATCAAACGTGACAGAATAAACTGCATCATGCTTAGTTTCAGAAGAAACTTTAAAGAAGCCATGTGAAATTTTTTTTATACTACCCACATAAACTTCAGCAGCTCTTAATTTTGTTTTTATGTGATCAATTAACCATTTTGGCTTATTGATTAAATAATTTGGTACATGTTCATTGTATAATCTGGCCTGCGAAAGCATACTCAGATTTTTTCTGACGTAAATTCTATATCTTTCTGGCAGAAATTTCTCAACCAAGATCTTAATTATTTCAGACAGCATACAGTTTTTATATCCCTGAAGATATCTATATTTTAGTTCCTCATTTAAGCGTTCAACACCATTGTTCGAGTTTATGAATAAGTCATTTGGTTTGTAAGCCAAAGCCCATCTCTCAATTTCCTTGAACCATGTTAATTCAAAATAATCTTTCACAGCTTCATATTGGTTCCATGATTTTAATACCTCTATTGCTGCAACCATTTCATCTTGAGTTGGAGCATTTGCTATGGCACGTAATTTACACAAAAGCTCTTCTTTGGGAACCACTGCATTCTTTTTCTTAGAAGCCCATCTTGACCATGCCTGCTCTCGATGGAAACTACATATAAAAACCTTAATTCCTGTAAAGACATTTTCCAAACTTGTAATTTCTTCCATTGCAAAATCAACCATCCCATATTTTGGTCTAACGAGAGGCGACCAATTTTTAATAATTATAAGAGCTTCTTCTAATGCTTTGGCTGTTTCATTTTGTGTAATTATTATGCTCACTATTTGATAGTTCACATTTGTTTTGACAACTAAAAAATAAAGTGGGAGAGCATACTTACAGGTTCGATAGGTCGCGTCGAGAAGAACAAGATTAGAACCATATAAGACATATAAATTTTTCATTTCTTCACTTTGATATACAAATAGCAGATTTAGTTTTGAATCTGTAAAGTCATTTGGCTCAGTACCATCATATGTATTTTCAGTACATGGTCTAAAAAAAACAGAACACTTGGAAGTATCCCAGCTATTTATTAACATTTCTGTATTTTCCTGGTCAATTTTACTAGTTCTAATATCGGATTTTGCTTGGCTTATTATTTTCCTTATTGCCTCCATTTCTGGATAAAATCGTCTGCGCGTTTTATCAGTTTCTCCCAATTCAGTTGAAACGTATACTTCTAATAGCTCTGCAATTACAGTGGCATTGCATTTTCCATTCTTAACTTTAGAAGCTATGAAATGCCGCACTCTAGCATCTATAGGTTCTATTACTGCAGCCATGTTACCCATTAGATGATTTTGATGATCTTGGCTATTAGGTAAATTAAACATGAAAACTTCTTCACCAGCAATACTATCTTTATTGGCTAGTTTTTCCTTAATTTTCCGAGATATCATAATCTTTCTTTTTCGGGTTGGCACTACCTGTAACATATTTATCACAGTAAAATTTAGAAATTCCAGCACAGTCATCTAAAACTAATTATTGATAAAGGTTCAATTTTAAAAACTTTCTGTTCATAGCAAATTATTCAAAAAAAAAAAAAAAAAAAAAAAACAGAGGAGTCATTTCTTTCCTTTAAAAAAAGCTGTAAAAAGGATCTTCCATTTTTATAACAATAGATCAAATTACTTCTTCAAAGAAACATAACCAATAAAACTTCACTTTGAACAACTTATTTCTATTTGTAGCAAATTGGTTAGAATATAATTAGCATTTCTGGCCTGAAAACATCATTTTATTTGCATGTCAATTACTGAATTATTTATTTAGGAAAATATTACTGTTAAAAACCCTCTTTAGGCCAAAAAAAAAAAAAAAAAAAAAAAAAAAAAAAAAACTATTTAGAAAAATATGTTGAATAAAGAGACACAAAAAATCATTTCTCTTTTTTACATTGTGACTCTAAAAATACCTTTTGTTTTTATGTCAAAAAGTATGTATACTTTATCATAGAATACCTTCAATACATCTTGCTCATACGTGACAGAATTATATTTTTTCCTTAAAAAAAAATTCTCTAAAATTACTAAGACCATCTTAGAACAAAAAGTTAAATAAACTTCTACCTTGAACTGAGGCATCCTGTACATTCGGGTAACATTAATTACAGCTGGACAATTAACTTTTTTAGTTGTCTGGTTCTTGGAATATGCTTTACCAAAAGCATGATCAGTTTGACACTAAAAGAAAAAAAAAAAAAAAACACACACACACACATATATATATATCCAAGAGGTGATATTTTTGTATAAATTTTAAATAATTTTGTGTAAAACACCGATAATTTGTCAATCGAAATTTTTTTGTTAAATAACCTTTTTTTCTTTATTTTTTAATCATTTTTTTTTTAATTATAAGCTTTTTTATGCTTCAACTTTTCATTTTTGATTTTCATTTCAAACATTTTCGCTTTAGTCTTTACAATCCAAATTTTATATAGAAAGTTTAAGCTTACTTTAAAAATTGCTCTTGTCTGCAAAAAATGGGATATTTTCAACGCATCCAACATTAACTGTTAATTTAATTTTAGCTTAACAGCCCAAAGTTTGCACTTGAATCATAGCAGGTAAAGGTAATCACATCTACCACCAAAAGTTTAGTTTGATCCATAATCATTCGAATAAAAACGTTTGACTGTAATATAATCCAGAGGTGATATTTTTGTATAAATTTTTAAATATAACAATGTTATTTACCTTTTCATTTTTTTTCTTTAGATAATTTTCTTTTGACGTTTATTCAGTCTTTTCCTTGATGGCAAACATAGGTTTTTCGCCCAAAGTGGAAATAGGGAATATCATCTAATCGAAATTTGGAGTTAGTTCACTGGAAAGAAAATTTTGATTTAGATCACAATCTGATAAGCTTTGATTTTTAAAAGAAAGAAATTACAGATCTCTATAAACATATTATACATTTAACTGTCTCTATATATACTACATACTGTAGACACTGCTTAATGTATTGCAGCTGATGTCGTGTATATTGCTATTGAATTTCTAAGTTCTGCTCTTTCATATATGGAAACATAAAAAAATGCATCATTTGCTGTAATTTTATTTGCTCAATTTGGTTAATATAATCAAAATATTATACAATAAATTTCTTAAACTGAAGAACGAAAATGATTTTAATCAAGCATTTAGAAAAAAGCGCAAAACAATAAATTAAAAAAAAAAAAACTTAATTTCATACGAATTTTCAATAGCTATTGATTTGGAAGGGCTTCAGCACAGTTTCCTCTCTTCTTCAAAAGGGAGGTAAAAATTCCTGAAAACATCTTTGCCAAAATACAACTTGCGTTTTTGCCCAATTTCAGATTTTACATTGGCAAAATCTCTTTAAACAAGGATGCCCTCCAAGTATTAAGATTATAGGTATAGAATTGGTCCAATAAATTTCAGAAACATTATGGACTACTCAAATGAACTTTTGCAATGAAGACTGTAAACAATTGATAAACAAACTTTTATTTTTCCTAATTAAAATGTTAAGAAAGTGGCTAGTTATATTTATAGTTAATTCAATTCCTATTTTAAAAGATACTTTTCTCATCATCTTATATTATCAAAAATGGGCAAATGTAATCACATTAAGCAGCACCTACTGCAAACATAGAGAGATATTAAAAGCATTAAACTATTATGTAAAAAAATTATGTCATTTTGTCTCATATTAAAATTATATATGCTAGGTAAAGTAAAGAATGAGCTATCTGCCTTAGGCAAAAGGGATGCCTTTGAGAAGGTCTTCTTATAGGAAACTGGCTTGTATTCACTTATATATAAGGAGAACAGGAAAATTTCCATGCAGCTAGTCCATTCATCAGTATTTGTACCTTGATCAAACATCCAGTGTTCAGCTATCTTACCTGCTAGTCCATTGGTGCTAAGAGTCAAAATAGACAGTAATGTGATTTTACACACAAGATAAGTAGCATTCATTGACTATATATATCATCACTAAAGAAATATATACATTTCAGAAAACTTTCCTGTTTTCTAAAATTCAATATCTTTATTATTATAACTTCCTGATATTTCAATGCATTATAATTTTATGGTGAACTATTACCTGAAAATAAAACAGAATATTTTTTGAATTGGTAGTGTTTATTATAAGGTTATTTTGAAACATGTTGTTAATGATAAAACTAAAGAATGGATTTTCTTTATAGACTATTAAATGATTATATTTCAAATCAACAGACTGCATTCATACACTAAAATAGGATGAAAAATATAGTAGTCATCGAGACAATTGTCGAGTTTCTCAAGAAACAACAATAAAAATTTTCAAATCTAACACGGTATATCTTGTTTAATGTTTAATATAGTACGGAATGTTTCGTGAAGCATCAGCTATTTAAAAAAAAAAAAAAAAAAAAAAACATGCAATACCTGACAATGAAACCAAATAAAAATCAAACATAACGCTATTACACGTTTATGCAACAAAATTAATGAATATGAACGTCTATAAACCCTTTTTTCAACTTGGACCGAATCTCGCAACATCAACTAGATCTTACGCAATAAAATTAATACAAATTAGTGCTGATAAGTTCTTTTTGGAACAAAATGGCCAAATATCAACTAAACAACCAAAGAAAGCATTTACATTCTAGAGGATTTTTATTTACTCATTACATCTTCAAAAATTACTTACTCTCTTTATCGAATGACTTTCCATAGTAGTAAACATATTTTGTTACAGTTTCTACTTCGTGTCTGCGAAGTATTTCTTTAAATTCGCTCCAAGATTTCGCAAAATTCATTTTGCCTCTAAACACAAAGGTTCATACACGAGACGGACTTTGAAACTCGTAATCGATAAACCGGCCATTCCCCTATCGTTGACACAAGTCTTTCTATCGATGGGAAAAGGAGACTCTAGGCCATCCGAAAAAGCGGCGACCTAATTTTTTTGCATAGCGGGCAGAAAGTTTAAGATATTGTTAACTTTATGTCTTTCTTCCAGCATGTGGTGTAGTTTCTATGGATGAAGTAGAGATGGAAAGTTCAGCTGAAGTACATTTTGCCCAACAACTTGCTTCAAATCAACCAAAAATACGAGAAAAGGCTTTGAAAAAACTAGGCAAATGGTTTGCGTTGAAATCAGTATCTGAGGATGGTAAATATCTTGTTTATATAGCCAAAATTTAGTATATGAATGTTGTGATGTTGTGTGTGATACGTGTAAACGTCATGGTTTTGATGTTTCTGGATATAATTGGGCTCGGAGGTCAGGAATTATAAATTTATTGAATTATGCTAATGTATTCAGGAACATCGTCTACTTGATCAAAGTTTTTTTTGCGTATTTCATTGAAGAAATCTCGTTTACATAATGTTCCATGATGGCCAAGATTGATTATTTACACAAAAAGTTAAATGCAGCTAGAAGGAGATATCAAAGAGCCAAAAATGCAATTTTGAGAGGTATTTACAAGAGTTATTTGCAAATAAGGCTAAAACATGTGTCTAAGTTAAAGAGAAGTTAACTTAATTCTTGGAAAGAGTTTTTCAGTAATATTGTGATGCAAAATGTTTAGAAGGACGAAATCATAAATGAAATGATTTGCAATCTTCACGATGTTTGTCGATCTATCTGACATAAGTTATTTAATACCTGTCTAAATCAGGAACACTTCCCAACAATGTTGGGGAAAGCTAGAATTGTGAGTTATCATAAGTACTGAAGTTAAGCAGTCTAGTATTGAAAATATCAGATGTAGCAGATTTTTGCAATTCTTAAGTAAATGTCTAAAAACTTTAAATAAATAGACTGAATTGGCACTTCAAAAGCAGAAATATTTTAGATCAGGATCCATATGGCTTAAGTTTGAGTGTTCAACTGAAGATGCGCTTCTTCTGTAATGTAACATAATAAAGCAAGGGAAATAGAAAAACTACGTCACGATTTTGATGTTCCTGGATATAAATGGGGCTTTTAATATTGCTCCAGGAATCGTAAATTTGTTGAATTGTGCTAATATGCCTAGGAACATTATCTACTTGATTAAAGATTTTTTTTTTTTTTTGCATACTCACACTGTAGAACTTTCTCTAGGTAATATTACAAAAGAATGTAGTTTGAAAAAGGGCTGTCCAGAAGGATCAGTCTCTGGGCCCTTTTTGTAGAATCTTATAATTAATGATCTTTTGTGTGAATTATCTGCTTTTCAGATTTGTTTCAAAATTTGCTTTTGTGGATGATCTGCTTTTAGTTGTTCAATGGAAAAGTTTCGTTGATGCTTGCCCTTAGTCTCAAGATTTACTTGATACTGCTTTTCAATGGTTTAAACTTTATAAATTAAAGTTTAGCCTGCTGAGAAGCAGAATTATTATGGTATTATGGTACATGAAAAGGTGAATACTGATTGCAAACTAAGTTTATCACTTGGGGACTTTCATCTTGGATAATAAATTTCAATGGAAGTATGACATTGCCCATCTCTCAGGAAAATTTGAAAAGCTATTTTCAAGATTACTAAAAATTTCTAAAATCAATTATGCAGTCAAGAAATAATGCCAGTTATTTCTTATGCATCAAGAGTTGATTATGTTAAAGGTTTAAAAAAGGGTAAAACTTCTGCACTGGGCAGAATCATGTATGAAATTTTTTATGCATCAAGGGTTTAGGCAGTTTTTGGCTGAAAATAGTAAACTGAAAATTTCTAAGCAGAATTCAAAGATTTCCTAATCATGGTTACCGAACTATCAGTTATGAGGCACTTTTTTATGTCGCTGGTATTCCACCCATAGATATTGAAATTTATTGAAATTGGGATGAAGGAAAGCATTTGCAGGCAATATTCCAGTTTTTTTTTTTTTGGCTGCATGCTTTTAACAGGAATCCTGTATGAGTTGCCTATTCTTGAAGCATACAAATTAATTTGTTTTGCAGATGGAAGTTAGGTGAATGATAAGGTGGGCTATTCTTTTATTGTTTATGAAGATAAGCAAGAAAGAGACTTCAAACAGTACAAAATTAGTGATGAGTGCTCTTTTTTTCTGCCTGAGTTGCTATGCTTAAACCTTGCTGTGAAATGGATTTAAAATTATTGTAGTGGTTTGAGATCAATGCACATTCAATATTTAGTGATTCTCTTTCTTGGTTACAATTTTTACAGGTTAGTGTTTCAAAGAAACTGAAAATATTTTTCCTATAATTTTTCACAGAATAAAAGTTGATCAGTTTTGAACAGATTTTAAAGTAATTCAATTTTTGACTGGACATGGCAATTTTAAGAGCTATTTAAAGCGGGGCTTGCTTCAAGTATCTTGTGCCGCTGGGCTAGCAATGAAGATGCTAAGCATATTCTTCTTGAGTGCATTCACCATGCCCAGCAGTGGAGGGTACTTCAAGCAATTTTGAAGCACCTGTCTGTAAGTTGGGCCCCAATCTTTTCTGAATTTTTTCGAACTAAAAATACTATTTCTGCTTTTTGGAATTTCATTCTCAATTTTGATAATTGAGTACTCTTTTATTTATTATATTTTTATAATTTCAGTTTTATTTTACACCTTGCACAAAAAATATAGGACAATTCTATATTTCTTGTACTACTGGACCGGTTGTCGAAATTTAACTTGGGTTGAAAGCACCACTTGGGACGTATATTAGATTTGTACATAGCAACATTGTTCTAAAATAGGTATTTTGACACAAAATAATAGGTATTTTGACACAAAACATAGGTATTTTGACACCTTTTTATGACATACCAGTTTTTTTTACATATTTCCTTCTTACGATTTAAATTAAGTCAAAATGCCAAGTTTTGTAAAAATTGCACAAGAGCATGATTTTGAGTGAAAAATTAAATTTTTTGAAAAAAAAATTTGAATTGTAACCTATAATTTTAAAAATCATCTTAAAGTAAATGTATTAAGCATACCTACAAAACATTAGAGTTTTTTATTCAAAATTTCTTAAGATATACGTGAATTTACATAGTGGTACATTTTGAAATTTGGCATATTTGTTATAAGAGATAATAACACCAAATATGGTTTATACACTTTGTTAAAATTATTTGAAGGTATGAACGATAACTTTTTTCTGCTCGTGTATAATGAAAAAAAGGGAAAGGAAAATAGGTTGCTATAAATTAGGAAGTTTATAAAGTGAATTATTCTTGGTGCAAACTGAAAGAAAATGCACTAAGGTAAATTTTTAAATATCTTCATAAATTTCTCACCAAAAATTACAAAATTTAATATCTAGGAATAATTTGAATCGTGGAATTGAAATATGAAAAAAAAAATGGTATGTTATTTCAGGAAATATCGATTTTGTGTCTTAGTACCTATGTTAGAATAATGCTTTATATAAATCTAATATATATCGTAAATTGTGCTTTTGAGACATGGGAAATGCAAGTTAAATTTTGAAAATCTCTTCAGAATGAGATGTAGAACTGTCCCATTTTTTTTTTTTTCCAATGTGTACATCTGTTTATTCATTTTGTGAGTGCTATAACTTACTTGTGGTAAGCCTTATGATATACTTCTGTTGGAACACGAGAAGTATAAATTATAGTTAATAACAACAATAACACCCACCCACCCACACAAAAAAATGCTAATCATTGCCAAATTCCAAAATTGAAATGTGCCATTTGATGCTCATCTGCCATAAACATTCACTTAAATTAGTATATGGGTGTCACATACCTTGGTAGTCACATAAATAAATTTTGCCAACATCATGGGTTATATATTTTGGTGACATAGTACATTCCTGCATGAATATTTTTCAAAAGAGGTGCAGATAATCAGGAAGTACTAAAATAATATAAGCTTTTTGAAGGTAATGAAATAATTTGTAAAAACATTGAAGTGAACTGCATGAAATCCATTAAATAAATTGGAGTTTAGTAATCAGGTGGGCCTACATTATCTTGATACAGATATTAATTGTCAAAATTGAAAATACGGTTAATCTTTGGATTATGGTAACTTTATGATTTTTTGGCGAAAATTTGGCGACCAACCCTGCTACCGCAACCTGCTAGTTTTTGTTTGGACGCCATTTTGTTTTCACAAAGTAAAGGCATTTTTTTTTTTTTTTTACTCAAAATTTTTTTCCAACAATCTGCCCTCCGAATTACACTTATGCTAGAACTTTTATGGAACAAAAGTACTTAATCATGACGAAGATTAGGTGCGAAATTGGGACAAAGTGCAGAATCGCCCACTGCTTGCCGTGTTTTTAAGAATTCCACATACACAGTATCATCCATGTACACGTCGACCTATTTTCAGTTAAAAAAACATCCCGGAATTGCACAAAAATGGCATTGCGCATACTCTTGACTTTATCCATGTACACTGCTAAATTCCTAACTAGTAACCTTTATCGCCTTACCAAAATTTCGCCAAACTACCTGTTACCATATTCCAAAGATTAGCCAAAAATACCATATTTTTATCATTTTTAATGCATACAATAAAGTTACATAATCTGTTTTACATGAGGAAAAGAAGCATGTAAATCAGAAATTTAAAATTATATGAGTTTTAATCTGCGATTGATGTTGATTATATATATATATTTTAAAAAAAGCCCATGTGGGGTACTTTTGTTGCAAAAAGAAGAGTGGTGTCGTATGAGCTCCATTGAAAATGCGTATTTTTCAGGAAGGCCAGCTAAAAATTATCCATATCTTAAGCATCTTTCATGTCTGGAAAACTACAGTGAAATGAATGAAGATTTTCTTTTAAATGTAAAAACATAAAAAACTTGAAACAGTGGATTACTTATTGTATGCATGACCAGTTAATTGAAAAGTTAGGGTGCTTTTACTATAATTGTATTTGCTTCAAGTGACTTGAGTAATAAATGTGTGCTCTTTGTTTATGTAGCATTTTCAAGTGATGGCATGCTAAAGCTATGGAAAGGACTTTTTTATTACTTTTGGAATTGTGACAAGCCATTATTTCAGGTTAGTATTTCAAAATCTCATTTGACAGTTATGCTGAAATTCATTTAAAAAGATTTTGTTGATTCACAAGCTTTAATTCCAACTTAGCTGCTTTAAAAGTTTTTCTGTTTTTGTTGAAATTTTTTTCTGTAATAGATTCTTTCTGAATGACACACCTTTTAAAGGAAATGTTTATAGCTTTTCTGCATATGGGTGGAAGCAAAATAAATGCTTGTACTGTATATTATTTCTTTTGTGTGAACACATGAATGCATCTGGTATACATCTTAGAAGAGCTGTGGTTATAATATATCTTTTCACAATACACAATTTTAGCTTTGAGAAAGATTTTGATGTATGATATCTGAGAATCTTGTGTATCTCATTGCAACATTAGCTGTAGAAGCAGACTCCTAAAACATGGCCCTACTCTACATAGACACGATTGTTACAAAAGATTTGTCTGGGAATCTAATGCTCAAATGAGAATCACACACACACACACACACACATATATAATCAAAAGATAATAATTAAACCAGAAAATGGGGGATATCCAACAGGAATTATTCAAATCAAAATTAAAAGAAGTCAATAAAGTTAATGAAACATGCAAGTTGATTTAAAATGTGCAAAATATAAAAACTATAATTGTTGAAAATTGCCAAGTCTTTGTTGTGTAGTCAGTTTAAGTGGTTTAATTAATTAATAAACTATATTAAGTAGTACTTATCAGTTATTCAAAATTTTGACTACAGTGCACTTATTTTTATATTCAGTTTTATGAATTGGGTTTTGTAAGCAAAGTTTAAACACTGTTCTTCAATTTTCATCACATAGCTCAGGCGTGGAGACAATGGCATTCAGGCAAAATTCGTAATATTGCGATTTAAAAATACTTAATATTATTGTTTGTCTTTGAAACTTGCACAACTAAAGCAGAATTTTTTTCTTTCTTTCTTGTGAGTCTACTTTTGTTAATATGTGTTTATTAGATTTTATGCCCAATTAATTATCTAAATTCTGGTGTTGTGGCTAAAATTTTTCTGGATAGTTAAAATCCAGGATGGGGGAGTGATGTATGAACTTTTTGATACCTTTTAGATAAAATATGCTCATTATTACAGCATTAATAACGATTTCATATTTTTAATTTTATAATTTCTGCATGCCATTTTGGTAGTTTTAAATTGATGATCTAATATCCAGAAAAACCCAAATCTCAAATCGCTGAAGTCCTGATGAGTGTGGATCTTGGACCTTGTGCTGTATTTCCGGCTGGAAAGTTGTGCCCCTTTCTTAATTTAATTTTGATTTTATTAACTCTTGATTATTTGATTAATTTTCAGCATTCTGTGTATTAATGATATATTTCACCTTAAGTTGAAATTTCTCAACTTTTATATCTGTATATGTATGTGAGTGTGTCTGGTGTAATAATTTAGGAATGATGCAGATGCATGTTAAAGCACACATATTAAATCTGGAGTGGAAAAGAAACTAAGTCATAGATGCAATAAAATGCAGCAGATTTAGTTCATATTTCTTTTATCATTGTTTGGTCACAATTCAATAAGCACATTAATCATGCCTGTTTCAGAATAGTATTAAGAAAAGTATTAGACAATGGCTTAGCGAGGATAGAGATAGAAGCAGAGTATGCAGTTACCCAGTACGGCAGCTTAAGAGAAAGGTTTTAGTTATCGAAATTTTGAGTTAAGTTCCAAATTAGCTACATCATTCATAGTTATTATAAGTATAGAGATTGATCTAGAAATGGGACAGTTCAGGAAAAAGTTATTATTTTTAGAATTGAGAGGGGATGTACCCAGATTAAAAAAAGGAATTAAGAGCTATTGTTAATTTAAATTATAATTTAGTTACATCTTTAACTTGCATAATCCTCCTTGCCTTAGAAGAGGAAAAGGCTTAGTGACAGAGAAGACTTTTTAGAGAAAAAACGTTAAAGCAGAAGCAGTTATAACATTTATTTATTCTAATTTGAACTTTTATTAATTACATTAGTCATAAATTTTTCATATTTCTTTAATCATTATACCAAAATTTAATATCAAAACAATGTATTTTACATTATATTCAAAACACAAATCTATATCCATTTTTCTGTACCAGTTCTTTAGAATTAACTTATTCATTTTTTACATTTAGCTCTTTCTTAAAATAATTCAAAATTCTTAAAATTCAAATTTTCAAACAGTACATGATAATGAAAAATGTTTTGCATACATTATTAGCAAAATAACATTGAATATGTAGATCTCTCTGAAATTTCCGTGATACGTGTAGATGATAAGTGGCAGAAAAAAATTACTGGTGAGATTTGAAAATGTGAATTATTTTAGCACAAAAGTTGTAAATTCAAAATCATTCCTGAAATACTGAATTATTTTTTGAACAATACTTTTTTTTTTTTTTCAATTCAATCCAGTCAAATTTCAGGAATGTTTCACTAATTTTGGATGCAACATTTAAAATCCGTAGCATAATTTTCATTCTTGCACCTCCGAAAAGAATGTGATGTAATTTAGCCGATAAAATAGCTGACATGTAATAAAGATTAACATAAAGATCAATGTATACTGAAAACAGAAGTAGATGAAACATCAGCCTAAAGACCTTGATTAACTTGTAAATATATTATAATGGGTGATTTCCTTTTTACTTACAACTTAAATGATCACTAGTTTTAAAGCAAAGGTAGATCGTAAGTTTAAAGCACTAGAAAGCCACAGCAAAAGGGTATTTCTTTTCTTTCTTGATATGCTTTTGAACATGGAATTTGAGTTAGATAATTTAGCACATTTAACGTGCAATCTAATTCCGTAGACCAATTTTCAATCAAGCAGCATTCTTTTTTCACAAGTTCAATGCTGTCGATTTTAATTAAATAGAGTGATTTTGAATTATGCATATAGATGTTGTTGCACACATAGAAAATTTGAAATGAAGAAGAAACATATTAATTGTGTCTGTTTCAGAACGGTTACATTCTAGGTATTGTCGCAGTAGAAAGAAAAGCATCAAGCAATGTCTTAGTGAAAACAGAAGTGAGCAGTTACTCAATATGGCATCTTTAGTTAAGGGTTTTTTTTTTTTTTTTTTGGTTCTTGAAATTTTTAGTTTAGTTCCAAATTAGTTATGTCGTCTCGTTTTCCGAGTGATCTAGAAATGACACTGTAGAGAAAAAGGTGTTGCTGTTTTTAGAATAGAGAGGGGAAGCATCCAAATTAAACAGATCCAAATTAAATAATTAACTTAATTAGTAAGAGGTGTTGCTAATTTAAATTATAATTTATAGTTAATCTTTTAAATGTGTATGTGTGTAATACAGACAAAATAGTAAGGAATTTATAAACTAATTCACAAAGACATGAAAGAAATAAAATTCAAAACCAGTAAAATCCCAGGATTTCCCAATAAAAAAAATCAGCTAACAGAAGAATTCCAGAAAACAACAAAAATATTTATAGTGTAAAATCTGAAATCCGGACGTCCATTATTCGGAATGATCTAAAATCTGGACCTCAAACCCACAAACATTTTTTTTTTTTATTAATGCTTTACGCACGCGCATTTAATTTTTCCTTCCATAATAAAACATGTGGAGATTTTCACTTAAAAATTCTGATTCTTAATTTCACTTAGGCACTAAAAAAATACCTCGTTATGGAAAAACAATCATGTAAGCATAAATTTGTGACATTAATAATGTGGCTCCGTAGCTTATATCTACTTGGCGTACATCTCAAACTGAAAAATTCACCTATTTTATATCCCTGACGCTGACCTGTGATGTCTAAACTTTTTTTATTAGTAATTGACTAACAAGAGTATGGCAGCCTTTTATGCTAACATTATGCTTGGCGATGATTATAGATTTTTAAATGCTCTAAGAAATTTTGACGAGGAAAAATTCAACAAAATTTTCTCTTCATATGCTAAAAATAGATTTTGGTAATGAAACTTATAGGCCAAAAGATTACATTTAATGCTATTTTAATTAAAAGAATAACTGATATGTTATTCACCATAAACTCAGAAGCGCCGGCAGTGTGTGTCGGCACTGGACAGTAGAATTTAGGGAAGACAAAAGTTTTGGGATTTGGGGAAGCAAAGAGCAGCAAAATTAAGAAATGAGAAGTTTTTAGGATTTAGGCAAAGCATTGGGATCCAAAGTTTAGGCACTGTAAAAATTTAGAACATAGAAAAGCGCTTTGTAGCAGAATAATGACCTGTAGAGACTGCACAAGGTGGTATTGAGCACTGGCCATAGATAAAGTGGGACTTTATTTATTTAGGACTCTGATTAGTTTGAAGCATGTGGAAGAAATAAACGTAGGTGTAGTAAATAACTAAAACAATTCAGGCCTAATTCAGTTTGCAATATGAGCAAGACAAAATTTAGTGAAATAACTTGGCTTTCTTTGCCAATCTTGTGATACACAGCCAATAATGTGTAATGCATGCTATTAAGCTAGGCTAAAATTATCTTTACTGATGCTAAGGCATTTCAATTAATGCTAAGGCATTTCAATTAATGTAGCAGACTGCGCTGCTCCCTGATCTTCTAATTTGATCCAGCTTATTATTTTTTGCAGACTGGGCAATTTTATTAAAACTAAGCTTGAACTTTTGATTATGTCAAGAGTTTCCAATTCTGGAGTTGCCAAAGAATCTACAAAGCGAAACCATGTTTCAGTATCCATTAAAACAAAAAGTGGAATTGCTGCAAAAAATGGATAAAGGCATATCCGTCTCAAAATTATGCAAGGAGTATGGCTTTGGAAAGTCCACTGTATATGACACAAGAAAAGGGAACTTTTTGAATTTTTTGTAGAAGCATCTTAAACAACTTACATTGAAGGAAATGTTTAGTAAACAAATAAATATTAAGCTTTTTTTTGTAAATTTTGATACCGTTTAGATCATAAATGTTCTTTATTTCATAAATTACAATTTCATATTTTTAATTGTATAATTTCTGCATGCCATCTTACCAGATTTAAATTGATGATGTATTATCCGGAAAAATTCCAAATCTGGAACTGCCGAAGTCCTAACCAGTTCGGATTTCGGACATTGTACTGTATATAAAAATTATTTGAAAAAATTTGTGATACTGTTATATATATATATATATATGCATCATTTAACTGTATTCTAGCTATTCATAAAGATTTCAGATAGCTAACTGGTGGCATTTTAGCTAATTTGTCCTCTCTTTATAAATATAGAACATGCAGAAAACAAAATTTTAATTTATTTTGCAACATTAATTTTGTAGTAAATTTAATCTTCTTTCTGTTGCTCTTATATAAAACTAATTTAAGGCCAGACAGTTTATTAATTTTTATATAATAAATGAAATCAGTGGAGCATTGCTCTGAAAGAATTTGCTAAAGGTAGCTCTTATAGTTTCTATTTTTGCTGCTTTTGTTTTGTTTACAGTTTCAGGCCCCTTAAAAGCTAAAGCATTGCATTTCTTATACATATTTCAACTTAAATTATCACATATTATTTCAGTAAATTATTCAATTTGTTATACAGAGTAAATTCAAGCTAATATTTATAAGATTTTTTGCACTCTGATTATTGAAATCCTGGTTGAAAATTTGCAAACTTATGGATTACTAATTTCTTACCAAGCTAATATGGCAAAAGCAAGAGTTTTTGTGTTCTCTCAGGCAGCTGGAAATTTCTTCCCCCCCTTTTTTTTAATAAAGTTTATTTGTAAAGAAGTTATGGACATGCTGTTTGACTTGGCAGGAAAGTGAACTTCCTGACCATTCAGAGGATTTTGAAGTAACTGAAGAGATGAAACTCTGAGAGAGCAGTCTAGTGAAAATGGGGAGGATGCTGAATATCTCAGTCATCATTGAATAAGTGTTTCACATTCATCGGAATGTGGAGCTGAGCATTGTCACGAGGGAGGACAACACCTCAAGAGATTGGTCCTTGAGACTGAAATTTGCATGTTAAAACTAAGACAACCATTGAACTGTGTTTCCTGAAACAGCACTTTTTTATATGTAGCATAGATTTTATCAGCAGTGTAATATCTTTTTTTTTCCGAATTTTAAAATAAAAGAGGATGGGTAAGAGAAGAAAAATTAGCTTTTTGCATTCTTCTTTCTTAGCACGCCATTGAAATATTGTGATGCGATACAGCTAAAATTATGCAATGGGAGCAAAAAAAGATGCTTTTGATGGAGCTCACTGCATACCAGTGTTAATAAAATAATTAAAAGAAAACATGCTTTGATTTGAAAAATTGCAGAACTTTTCAGGTGAACCAGTAAAATTTAATCTTTTCTTGATATTAATTTTTAAAGAAAACATTAAATTCCTTTCAGCAAACAAAGCAGTATTGAAACAAAACAGTAATTTAAAATAGGTTATCTGTTTTTTAGATGAAGTCGGCATAAGCAAAAATTGAATTATGCTGAGTAAATTAATTTTAGGTTAATGTGTGGCTTTTATATCTGCTATAATATTTTTTTCGTATGAAAATTGGGTCTTTTTTGAGCTAGAAGTATATTACTTAGTTTTTCTACAAATATAATATTTGCATTTCTTTATAGTTTTGCTATTTATTTTTATTTTTAGGAGGAGCGAGCTGATATTATTAGCAGATACATTCATGTTTTCAAAAACTTGGAATGTTCATTTCTTTACATAGATACATTTTTTCTAACTATGGCTCGCGAATGGGGTACCATCGATCGCTATAGATTGGAAAAATTTATGATGGTAAAAATTTCTTATTATATAGATTCTATGTTTTTATGATAACAAATTATAAATAAATAACTTAAATAATATGATCATATTTGATGTGATAATTTGTATTATTAATGCGTATATGCTTTTAAAATTTAAGCTAAAAGTTCATAGCTAGTGTTTTGATATTCTAAATATCTTTTTGTTAAATAGTTGTGTTTGTGTATAGATTATAATTACAGATTATGGTTTTCCAAATGAAAGTAATATCAGCAGTAGCAGTTGATGAATCATGCATGTATTACATTAGCTGTAATAAAAAAAAATTCTGATTGGAGGAAAAGATCTTTTATTAATGAAAGTCAGAGCTTATAAAATTTTCAGAGTATAGGCAAATTCTTTGCTGCTTGTCAGAAAATAGTGTAGGGACAAAGTCAGATAGTAATTATTGCAAATATGCCAATGCAGCCTTAAAAGATTATCCACCATTTAGTTAACTCTTGAATAACATTGAATTTGCAGTAAAGACTGAATTGAACTGTGATTATTAATGAAAGTATGGTACTTTTCCGTTTCGTCGGCGCAAATCTTGTCAAGCAGACTTTATTGGTGACAACATACAGTATACACATAACAAATGTTAACAAATGTTAGTTCTAAGAATTTTTTATTTTGAAGGCATAAACATTTTAATATCGTTTAAAATTTTGTAAAAGATAAATAAATAAAGACAATAAATTTGTAAAAAGATATTAATTTAAGAATGTACTATGCTTTCATGGTTCATCATCCTGATTCGCCACTTCATATCACATGACCCCAAGTGATCTCATCTCATGTAAACTATGTTTGAAAAATCTAATTCTGTTGGTTATTATCTACATTAATTTCAAGTTAAATCTTAATTCAGAATACAAGTGTAAATGCAAGAATTATTTCAATTCGTACGACTAGCTTACTCAGAAATAATGTAAAACCGCAGTGCTTTACTTCGCTAGTGCATTCTCATTAGAATTGGTGAATTTAACCATTGTCTTTGTCTTTTTTATATTTTCATCTGTGGGTGAGCATCCTAATTGACTTAATTACCACGAATGGCCTTAGGGCATAAAATTGAACTAAAAATCCTATGTAATTGTATGCCAGTATTGAAAGAAACAATCAGATTAGAAATGGCTGCGATTTGTTTTGAAAATGAGGCGTAAAAGGTTACCAGCAAAGATATTCCGTTTGGCATCAGTTGTACCATTATTTCCGACTTTATCACCTGTGCCGGCAAAACGGAAAAGTACCGAAAGTATTCTCTATATGAAGGCATGTACTCTTGATGAACTATGTTTTTCAAATCAGTTCCGTATCAGAAAATTTTGCCATACACGTATATCTGTGCAGTGGTTGTATACATATTTGAATATCGAAAAAGAAGTATAGGAAATTTGACCTTTCAGTTGTAAGTTGAGATGCATTTGGTATTTGAAGCTCTTGCTATATAATCAGTAAATTAGTAACCTTAGGAGAGTCTGCAAAGGAACTAAAGATTATTGACAAATTTGTTACGGCTAAACATCTTAACATATTCTTTTTCATCTGTTATTTCAGGTGTGATCATATTAATTGTGGTTTGATTTAAGAATGGATGTCATTATTGCCATTGCCCCAGTTAATTAAGGTTGACTGTAGCAAATAAAATGTTGAAAATTTTATATTTTGAAGTGTTTATGTCATGTAATATATTTAAAATTCTTTTCATGTTGCTTTTATATTTAAGTGCTTTATGTTAATTAAAAATGTAAATTAATATTTCATTGCTCAAATACACTGCCTGACATAGAAAATACAACACCATGTAAAATTTAGTAGAGTGTAATGTTAATTGATATGCAGACAGGATATGCATATGTAAATAAATCATGTTAATTTACAGAAAGATAAATTTATACAGTGCTGGAATATACTGAGAATCGGTAAGATTCATGAACATTTGTTGTGATGCAAACTGTAATCTTACAAGCTACCAATTTAATTAGTGTGCAGATAGTGGGTACTTATGTATTAACACCACCGCAGCTGCAGATTTGGCAGTTTTTAAGTGCCACTAATCTACAACTAAATTTTTTTGCGACAAATCATAATTAAAAATTATTATTTAAAATCAAAACACTTTCAAAAATCAAAACACTTTTATTTAAAATCAAAGTAGTCAATTGGATTTCGGTGGAAAAAGGGCTGATATAGAGTTTAACAAACAGTCAAAACAGTCTCTATTTTCTTTGACCTGATGCTGTTGCCATATGAACTCTGCTAAATGAGGTTCTAAATGATGTCTTGCTTCCTCCTGTCCCCTTTTTGCTGTCTCTTGTTCCTCCATTTAGCACTGCCCCACATTCTCTCAACTGTTTTTGTATGAACTCCTGTATCAGGATCAGTAAAATTGTATTTATGATTAACTTTAGCGTGTGAAAATTTTTCTATTCTATTTGTTTGGTAACCTTTCCAACTGTCAGAATAAATTGTGCTACCATCTGCAATGTTTTCAATAATTTTATTAAGCCAGTTCTATTAGGAACAGTGACAACAAACAAATCTTTTGTTTCTCTACATATACCACCAAACACCCACTGTTTGGGTAATACTCGACCACAATTATTTTTACGCTTAGTAAACAAACTTTCATCAATTTCCACAATGCAATCTGGTCCACCTACCTTCTTGTTTGGTTTATTCTCCATATCCAAGACACATAATTTATGCATGGAATTGTTCCAATCTATAACAGTTTTATCTGATAAATCAAGTCGCTTTTCACAAAATTTAATTGACATCAACTCCTCGCGCCAGCAGTATATGAATCTCGCAGCTGAACAAAATGGAATTCTGCTTTCTTCAAACCAATTGTCTTTTCTAAGTCCCACTTGCTAATCACACTGTCTTAAATTTCCAAAACATATTGTTTATCAAAATAAAGTTTCATGTCATGTGAATTGGTACATTTTCATTTTTTTATTAAAATGTTTAGCTCCTGAAAAAATAAAATTGCATCTTCTTCTGTGTTTGGCAAATCCCTAAGATGCATTTTCATAGCACTAAAAAATGGCATTAAAAATCAGCAAACAACAAGACAAAAAGGAATCCAAAAGAGAACTGGGTGCGAACAACAGGATTGCTCTTTATTGGCGCATCAGTGCAACGTCTGCTGCGGTGGCGTTAGTACGTAAGTACCAGATAGTGTTCTAAGGTATGGAAGCCTACATGCTCAGAACCCTCCTTCAAAGTTTGTCCTCTGATAATGGCTAAGGCAGAGCAGACAAACAACAACCAATCATGTTCCAGATATGCTCCATCAGCAAAAGATCAGGAGATATTGCAGGCGAACAAAGCAATGGGACATGCTGCAAGGCTTTTAACTAATGAGTGCTATGTGTAGTGCTGCATTGTCCTGCTGGAAAATACTATTTTGCAGCCACTGTAGATAAAGTACCACATTTGTCTGCAGCACCTCATCAACATATCCTTATGCCGTCAATATCCTTCTGATGCTAACAGGGTGACCTACCATCATGACTGATGGCACCCAAAACAAATTTTGCCACATTGATGAGTAATGTGATGTTTATTAATAGTAGTCAGATGGGCGCTACCTTCCCGGATGCCTCCCGTCTCTTAACTGGTGGTAATAATCAGGCAAACAAAAGTGAGACTCGTTGCTGACTACCACATTGTGCCATTCCAATGTACAAATGGTTTGTTGATGACACCATTGCAGTTTTTCGCACAGGGCTGTGTAGTTGGAGTCACAATCAAAGTTGGATAGATTTTATGGTAAAAGAAGTCGGAGTTGGAGTCGCTAAAAAACATGTCGACTCTGACTCCAGTTTTTGTTGAATAGATTGAATTTAAAATGAAATTAAAGTGAATTGAAAAAAAAAAAAAAAATTAATGACAAACTGAGTTAATATTTTTATTTATAAACTATATACATTAATAAGTAGTTATTTTCTATTTTATTGACATATTAGTAAATAAATATAAGGGAGCAGGATGGATATGATATTTGCCATTATTGATTAAACTGATTTATTTAGTTACTAATCTCATTGGTGAACTGACGTAAGCAGTAAGAACTCCCAAAATTAATGCCATTCTTAGGAAGCAAGCAGGAAAAGGAGCAACGCAATGGAGAAGTATATATTTGATGATATAGTGGTTGTTGGGATTAAGAACTTTTTCAGAAGATGTAAATAACGCTAATATTTCACTAACAGAAAGACTGTGGAATGATCTTGCAGAACGGGAAATCCTTCTTTCAACACCGAATATAGCCACCAAACAGCTGAAGAATTAACAAGAGGCAAGACTGGAAGAATGCAATGATTGTTTTCTCTGAAATGGAGGATTTATTGCAGAAGGAATCATTTCTTCAATGAAGAAAAGAGAAACTAGTTTGCTAGACAATAAGATTGCACTGGGTTCAATATATGCAGATCCAATATGTTTAATTTTGTTTCATGACAAAGAACTTAAAAAAAAAAAAAGAAAAAAAAAAGCCATCTATGAACTTTTATTAAGAATGAAATTATTCTCAGAACAATTGGAGAATTCGAATCAGACAGTCAAACTGCAGGTATTGCAACTGAGTTTCTATAATCTTCTTCCACTGATGAATTAGATTTTGTGAAATATTTGGATAATATTGAAAATGCTATGGCAAAGTGAATGAAAATAAAGAACCAAGAACCTTTAGATATAAAAATGAAAAAATACAAACAAGATTTATACATGGCCTTTGAAGAAATGGATAAATATGTTTGGTGTTGCTAGACACCTCTTTTAGAACTTTTTAGTACACCTAGATGAACTCTTTTAGTACACCTAGATGAACCTGGTTTTTCACAGCTATTTACGTATCCTTCATAGATTCCGGGATCCTTAAGGCAAATGTTGGTTCATCAGCTGTTTTCTTCCGTTTTATATCATTGTATAATCATTTGACCAACTTGCTTGACTCTTTGATCAAAATTTGCACGTTTATATGTTTGAATCTTTATGATGTTGCATTTTTTATGTTAGGCAGTGCACAATAAATGCATTATTTAAATATTTCAATTTTTTATTTGATAAAAGAGATAAGTGGTTGTATCCTGAATTAACAGTCAAAATAAAAAAAAATGTTTAATTTATTTTATTGTTTTATCTTTAATTTAACATCATATTGAACTGACTTGATCTGAGCTTTTAGGTATGTAAACATTAGCAAAATTATTTTTGAAAAAATATTTTACTTTTAAAATAAATAAGCAGGTGATCTTTTAAGTAGAAATTAGTTTTAAAATATTCCTTTTGCTAATAAATGAAAATTCTTGTTGTTTTTAGCTGGTCCGTAAATTTCTGCATCAGTGTTATCAACTTTTACAGTACCTAAAGTGGGATCCAGAGCACATAAGAGGATTTTGTAAAGTAATGAAAAAAACAGTTATTAACCCTTCTCATGAGGGTGCTCCACTTGGATTAAAAATGCACATCTGTGATATATATATGGAAGAGCTAACCCTAGTGGGACATGAAGAGGTACTTAAAATTCTTTTGTAGCTATATTTAAAATAAAAAATCTGATGTGTACACCACATGACTTCTTTGTACGGATATTAATTCTAACTTTTTTCTGCTTTTATTTAAACTTATTCATTGAATTAAACTACTTCACTGATGCGCATAGACCCAAGAAATAACTGCATTCTTTTACATTCACTTGTTTACCATAGCGACCTCTAGCTCTGGTTTACTTAACAGATATATCATTCATTTTAATCAGAATGCACAAAAGTAATCATTTAAAAAATTATCTAATTGTTGCCACATGTCTATTCAATACTATATAAAGCTAGAACTATGTATAAAAGAAATTAAGCAACAAAAAAAAAAGAAACATTTTTTCACAGACGATGAGTATTTTCATTTAATTAATTCGTCCTCACTTCCGGAGGAAAAACTAAAACTCAAATATCTACACTCACGTTTTGAAAATTGCAACACCAAGAAGAATCGTCATAATTAGCATTTAATACACATTGAGTGGTAGTGGTACAATAAATGATTAAATGTTCAAGCAACAAACAAGAACAGAGATCAGAATCAGTATTTGTTGGCCACCACGCGCCGCAATAAGTGCTACACACACGACGGGCTGGATCAAAAAGTTGAATTCTGACTGAGAAGAGCATTCCATATCGTTTGTACGCGTACCTAGTTCATCTGCATATCAACGGACGAGGATCACGAGCAAGACGCGACCAATGACATCCCCACATTTTCAATTGGCGACATATCCGGGGCACGCAGCAGAAAAGCTTACCTTCTGCTCTGCAAAGAAGGATTACAATCCGAGCGTATGAGGCGGGCATTGTCCTGTTAATACCTCCTGGCAACTTTGAGAAGGAACAGCTTCGGGCGTAGAATTCCGGATTACGGTGCTGTCAGATTGCCCACATTCGTAGCAATTGAGATCGTCTATGATATGCATGGCGCCCCAGACCATAACTCCTGGTGTTCGTCCACTGTGGCGTTCGATATGCCTCCGAAAGTGGGTTCACCGGATAGCGTCTGCAGAATGCGGCCATCGTGGTACCACAATTAAAGCGGGATTCTCAAAAACCGACATCTGCCAATCATCACTCCAGTCTCTATGCGATTGGCCAGTAGCCGCACTGCGTGGTCGGCGTAGGGGTATCCTGTAAAAGGATCGTGCGCCAGTCCACCTGCAGCACTCTACGAATTGATGATCACACAATGAACACCTGTAGCTATTGACCATTGCTCCATTGTCTAAGGAGCTGACGTCCGTTGCGCCATTCGGACCAGGGTCTATCATCGCGAGCTTACGTCAATTTCGGGGTCCACTCCCGTATTCCGAGTTGTCCACACCGTTCCGTCCACTGCTTCCAACGCGCATCACGTGCTGCTGTTACGCTGCACACAGAGGCTCTGCACGAGCGACATCCAGCTTCACGAAGGCGATGAAATTCGCCTCGTTCAAACCTGTACGGTTGTTCCAATCTCGCTCTCTTTCGTCGACGGCTAATAAGATTGAATTAAACTTCCACTAGCAATAACACCGATAACCATACCTCCTCGCTACAGCCGTCATTTTATTCATCCATCACCTTCAGAGGGCCATGCTCAGCAACTCAGCGCTACGGATTGCAATTCTAATCATTTGGCATTCATGCGCTACTTTGCATTTCCTGAAATTTCAGCTCACTCGCGTAAGTCCTTCATGGTGTTCAATTTTCACAAACGTGAGTGTATTACAATTACAAAGTAATCTCAAACGCTTATTTCCTCGAAAAAATTCCAGAAGAATTAAGCATGATTTAATTGGCAATTAAATGATGCGTTATCTTTGTTTGCGAAGCTAAGTTTCTTAGATTGGCAACAAATCCACTACTCGTGTTTCAAATGTAAACATGAATGGCCGCCATTAAAAACAGGCTTAGCGTAATTAAAACTTTAAAATTGCTGATAATCTAAAATATTGCACACATTTACTAAAGGCATAAAATCCTTAACTGGAAGATAAAAACAACAATTCATCACTTTAAAGCAAAAAATGTACAATTTACGAACATATAAGATTAAAAAACTGAGATGACTGGCCGGTAAGAGTGGATATATTATAAAATATATTTATATACATTTGGTGCGCGATTGCAACCAAATAAGGTCACATCTACATGTTATAGCAGTCCTATACAAAATTTCAACGTTCTGAGCTACTCGTTTTAGTTATGTGAGATACTCACGCACATACTACGTTGTACAGATGCCACGAAAATTCTCTTCAGAATTAATTTTAAAGCAGTTTTATAATTTTTTGAAGGAAAAGAGTAATTTTATTCTGTCCTTAACATACAGATATCACGCAAAAACATCGTTAAATTGCATAGCGGTTCAAATGGATATTTTCGTTGAAAATGCTGCCTGAAACTTTTCGTGATTACAATACTTCCTTTTTACTTCGTACAAGGAAGTAAAAAGAGAAATCTAATGCAGAATTGAATTAACAATTTTTATGTTTTAAATAAGTCTCATATACTTTAAAAAAAATAAAGTTAGTAATTTTTATGTTAATTTTTCTAACAGTTAATCTTTAGTTAAAAGTTATTTTCCCTATCTTCCTGAATTTCAGCGTACAACTTCCTGCCAGAACATATTTTCTGAATCAAGTTTGAATGCAATACGCCACATCACTGGCTGAGAAATACCCATTTTGCATGCCACTGCTTGCGTACTTATGGATGGAGCTGTTTCAAAATCTAGTCAAAACACACCGTTTTATTTCTGGTGTTTGTGCGTTTTGCGAACGTCCTACATTACTTTTTGAGATGGCAAAAGAGCCTGTTTCTCATAGTCTTTGATCAACACTGGAAAAGTTTAGATGACTTGGAATTTGACAAGTTGGAAACCACTGTCCATACAATCTTCGTGCTTCACGTCCATTTCCTTTTGCTTCATCGTATGTGAGGTGAATATCTACCAATTCCTTGTACATATACTCCGCCATAGCATTAATGAAAAGTTTCAAATGATGTTATCAAGGTAATGCTTGAAGCGATGATGTAGTGCCCTTTTTAAGGACAACATTTGCTCTGATTGGCTTTCTCCAGTTTTTCTTATTGGCTTTTCTCAACCAAGAGCAAAATGCTGCTTCTTCTCAGTGCAAATTTGTATATGTTTAATTCTTGATAATCTTAGGAGATAGTCTCCTTCTTCTTCCTCGATGCATTTCAACTTTCCTCTTTTCTGCATCTCAGAGTGGAATGCGACCCTATGTTCTATCATAATTTTTGCTCGCCTAGACGTGTACTATAACTCCTCTTAATTTGTAAAAGTAATTTAGAATCACCCTGTATATAAATGTAATTAAAAAATAAGAAAAGATGTTGTAGTAATTGTTTGGCATAAAACGTAGATCCAGATTGAAGAGGAAGAATTTTGATTGTATAGAATGCTAATCCATAATGAATAGGAAATTTGGCAGTGAAGGCAGATTAAATTCATTTTTTCTTTAAATTCATGTTTGTGTCCACATTTCACTTGGCACTCTAATTGTGCCTATTTTTAGAACATTTACATTTTTAATTCTATTGCGATATTAAATATTAAAGATAGCACAGTGAAATGACATCCTTACAGTAAAAAAGATACAAGCAAAGTGTGCATTAATCCAGTATGGAAGGTCGTAAAGAGGAAGGTTTTGGTGTAGGTTAGAAAAGTATTTCTCAAAGTTTAGGTCCCGAATCAACTGTGTAATATCAACTTTGTCATTAAACGTTATGCAAGCTCTGTCATAGATTTATCTAGGAATGATGCAGTCTAGAAACATTATTAATTTTTTTAGAATAAACAGGTAATAACCAGATTAACAATGATGAATTAAGAGGCTATTATTCAATTAAATTATAAAGTTAATTTACATATTTTTTAAAATCTTACGCACACACAACCTAATATATATATATATATATATGCATATTTATTTTTAGCTAACTCCGGACCTTGTAAAAATGTTTCTAATTCCTTACTGTCGTATGCTATGGAAATGTGATGAGTAAGTACTTCTTTATATTTAAAAAGAATTTTTCTACTCCCTTTTTAAGTTCATTATCTGAATACTTTAAAATGCTCTTTTTATGTTACAGTTACTTAAGGGTAAAATTTTTCCATTTTCCCCTCTTTTACCTTTTATTATGCTACCAGGAGATTTACACAACTAACCATCTACACAACTAAATATATGTTGCAACTGTATGAGATATATGATATTTATTTTTCATGTGGCCTGGAGAGCAGCCAATTTGTTGTCTTGCTGTTGGACATGGCACAAAAATTTTTATTTTTCAAATTATAATTGTATTACTGAATAATCTGAGAAATGTAACAGTAAACTTACGTCTGACCTATTTGTGTCTTTATTTTATTTTTCAGCAATATGATGCAGTCCAAGATCTGTATTTTAATTCACCATATTTAATGTAGTATCACCGCGTTTTAAATGTAGTAAAATGATATGTAAAAATGATAAGGTGAAATAGTTGAAGTAATGAAACATTTATGACCTTAGTAAAAATTTACAAGAAGAGCTCAGTATTTATTTGTTAGCTTTATTAAAAATTTCTTTCAATGTAAGTTTCATTTTTTGTACAAATACAGAGTTGCCAACTCTCCCGATTTTTGAGCGCTCTCCGCCAACCTGATTTACAATATATTTCTCTGACTTTTTTCTTATTCTTAAATTTCTCTTCTCCATTTTTAGGAACTTGGCTTAATATTTTGTTATAAGAACACAACAAAAAAAAAAAAAAAAAAAAAAAAAAAAGGTGATTTGGACTCTGAAATCATTTAAATTTTTCTAGATTATATCTAAACAAACCTGTGAACAATAACTTTGCTTGTGAGTGAGAGCATATACTATCCAAAACATCATTCTCCAGTTCTCCCAAGGCATTGAGCTCCACTGCTGTCATCTGTCATATATTAGCCAATGAGGACAAATAACGTTATTTATTTTTCTTCATTTTGTTCTGAGTTTCTGGTACACACGTGCGTTCAGGAATAGTTTAGAAATTATCATCTTTTGTTATTCTTAGAAAGGTGAAATACTCGTTACTTTAAAAATCGTACCAGTGACTTTCCTTTCATTTCCTCAGAAATGTATAAATTTGCGATCTTACCATCTTTTCGTTGCGAGTTTTCGTTCGTATTGTGGAGGACGGATTTCACAACATTTGCGTAACAAAAACACAGCAACATAAGTTTGTTTTAAAAAATAAATTAATTTTTCTCAAAACAAGACCAAAACATTATTATGCAGATGTCTGTCTCTTCCTTTTTACTGGAGCACATCGCCACTGAATCATCGATCACACTGCAGTTTTTTAGAAAGTGTTTTCGCGAAGGCAATTGCTAAGAAGGACAAAAATGCAGTTTAAAAAGGGTTTGAAAATAAATCCTTAGTTATTGATTGCATAAAACAACTCGTTCTGCTTCTTTAAACGATGAAGTATACTACCAATTCAAACTTATCCAATTGTGGTTTCAATTTTTTAATCCAGACTCATTTCTTCCCCACTTAAAGACCTTCACAGGTTATATAGCATCAATTTAAAAACTTTAAAAGAAAAGCAGTACCTCTGGATATTTGCTTAGCACTTGTGCCGAAATGCACCATAATGATAGGCTTGAAGCGGTTGTGCGGCACTTAAAAAGGAAATCGATTTTCAGATTATGGATACACCTGTCACTCTAAATTTAGCACTAAAAGGGGCGCTTTTTATACCAATAAATGCGGAGGACACATTTTGATATTTATTATTTCTGAAAGAGTCAAAAGAAAAAAATGAAACAGTTTCCAACAGCTGCATAACATCAGTTTACAATTGAAACTTGGATAAATTATAAAATGAGCTAGGATTGACACAAGTGAGTTTAATTGTAAAACTGAAGTGCTGATGGATGTAAAATATAGTGAACTTCTAGAATTATTTGGCCATCTGACATTCCCCATAGTAATGCGAGTGTTAGATGATTTTCAGTGTTTATGCGAAAACGAGACTAAATTTATCTAATATTAGTGATACACTAGCAACGCAGCCATGTGCGATTGCATCAACAAACAGAAGTTTCTTTCTAACACGCAACAACTCCACTGTTTTACATTTACGAAAACTGATTAAATGTCTTTTGTTTCTTAATGATGCAAGTAATAAAATTTTTTTATGGTAGGTATTTTTGTGTCTTGCATTTAAATATTTACATTAAAGTTAATCATTATTAAAAATTTTTTACATTTAAAAAGTCTTTTTAACATTCCAAAAGCTGATTTTCTTAAAAAAATCTCCTGATTTTTGGGTGTCATAGGTTGGCAAGTATGCAAATACTTTCCCTTTAATATTAATAGATAGTGAATTTTTTTTATTCAGCTACAAAGTTACATTGTTCAAGTCCTATAATTGCTGACTCAAGAATTATCTTGAAATTATAAATAAAAAATCTTCTCATTCTCAATAACCTCTCAACTGATTTCAGATGTTGCTGAGTTTAGGTATGAAATGATTTTCAAATCAAACATTCATTAATGTTTGTGTCATCCATGCTTCTTTATTTGGTTGATAGGTAATGGAGAAAATAATTACTCCTTTAAATGTTCGAGGTCATGTATGTTTTCCGAATATGCAAGGTTTATCTTTGCACATTCATGCAGCATTTGTACTTTACAAAATCATTAGTTTCACTTAGGAATCCTGAACTATAGTTGCGGTCTTTCCCACAGAGATTGCCAAGGTATTTCAGGGCACATATTGCTAGAACAGACCAATTTTATCAGCAGTATAAACTTGTTTTGGAAATAAGTTTTTATTATGAGTTATAACATGGCAAGGAATGTGATGCTTTTTTTTCCTTAAGATTTTTATCTTTGTTATTAGAGTATATTCCTGATTATCCACACCTGCCGCACAAAGTTTTTTTTTTTTTTTTCCCAGCATAAAGCAAAGAAAATAAAAATGCTCACAAAACTGAGCAAAACATTATATTTGCTAACATCGTGCTTATTTATGGCAAAAATATCCCAGACCTTCTCGGAACCTTCACTTCTGATGAGTAGGTGATTTCTTACTCACCCTTGCAGTGCCTGCTCCACCGGCCTCTCTCGTCTTAAATCTTACTGACATGTACACTTCCTCCCACTCGCCATTGTTAGTTTAAGCC